TTCTTCTCTTTTTTTTTTTTTAAATTTCTCTCTCCTTCATTTTCCTTTTTTTTTTTCAATTTCTCTCTCGCTATCGTTTTTTTTTGCTTCCCTTTCAAATGTTTTTAATTTTTACAATGATTTTTATTTCAGTTCATTATCAAAAAATAGTTCATCGTGATATCAAACCATCAAATTTATTACTCTCCGAAACAGGTCACGTTAAGGTTAGCTATACTTATTATTTTAAATTCGAAATATAAGAATTAATTTATAATACAATTTCATGAGATATGCTATTTTTAATTTCAAATATTTAGGACGTGTTTTTTTTCCTTCTTTTTTTACTTTAAAAATTTTTGTAGAATATTTCCTTTCTATCTTTTTAAATTTTAGCAAAATTTCAGATAGCAGATTTTGGAATTTCCTATGAATTTCAAGGTATTGATGCATTTTTATCTGGAACTGCTGGAACACCGGCATTTATGGCACCTGAAGCGCTCAAAGGCTTGTCAATTTTTTTGAAATGTTAAATTTTTAAATTTATTTATTAAGTATGATCTAGTACGGCATAACAATTAAAATGCAATCTTTTAATACTATCATGATTATTGCGCTCATTTTTTTTTAGATCTATTCTAAGCGCTAATTTACACGATTGTATTCGAAAACGATATATGCCATTAGTAATTGCTCTGCTATTCCTAGTCTAAAAAGTATTTCACAATTTAGGTATACAGTATTTTCAGTTTTAAATTTTAGAAGATTCATCATGCTTCTACAGTGGTCGTGCCCAAGACATTTGGTCCTTAGGTGTCACATTATATGCATTCGTTTACGGTATAGTACCATTCTGGGATTCATATGTCATAGCTTTGCATAAAAAAATCAAAAATGATGCTGTCATTTTCCCAAAAACGTAAGTTACCAATTATTCCTTAGTTTTATTTCCTTTTTTTGTGTTTTAATATTTCCAAATTTACAGTTTTTAAATTTTCTAACTTGAAAATCATACTTTATTATGTTATGATTTAGGTAAAATGACAGCAAAGAAATAGCTTTGGTAGATAAGCTTGTTTTTTTTCTTTTTTTTTTCAGTCCAGTAATAAGCAAATCATTGGAATTGCTAATTTTAAGTATACTCAAAAAAGATCCAGGCTTACGATTAATGCTAAATGAAATTAAAGTAAGTTAATCTATGATCGCTTTTGTTTTTTTCCAATTTTCTTTAATAATAAATTCCTTTTAATGAACGAAATGCTTGAAAATTATTTTTCAAATTTAATAGCAAATGGTAGAGAAAGTGTAAAGAAAAAAAGTTACGGAACAATAAATGTAAAATAAATAATAATTGTTAAAATTCATAACATATAACAGCAATTGTAATGCTAATTAGATGAGTAATTTTAATTACAAATTTAATAATATAATGGCATAAATTTAGGAACATGATTGGATAACACAAAACGGTCGCTATCCGATGCCATCTGAAGCAGAAAATTGTGATTTGATAACAGTAACAAATGAAGAAATTCAAAATTGTGTACGATGTATGCCACATTTGGATACATTAATCCTTGTAAAATTTATGGTACATCGTCGGCGTTTTGGCAATCCTTTCAAGTAAACTTTTTTTTTTCATTTAAAATTTAATTAAATTAAAAATAATTTTCTTATCTTTTAAATGTTATTGATTAATAATTCTCATTGAAATATTTCATAAATGAAAAATTTTAATAAAAAACCATCAAACAATAATAGTAAAATGTGGGAAGTAATAAGTATGACAAATTTTGCTTCATTTAATTTAGAATTATGGCGAAGAAAAATTTGAAGAATTTACGGAAAATGTCATCAGAATCTGATTCAATGCCAAATGATGAGCATAATGAAAAGAATATCAGGCCTGATATTAGCAAGTTTGTCTTTTTTTTCCTTTTCAACATATTTCTAAAATTGTTATTCACAAATATATCATCGAATTGTAAAATTTCAATTTATAATAGATCCTTTTGACTAGAGTATCGTATGACAAAAATAGCATTGATTAATTAATTAATTAATGGATGCATTAGAAAATGACACGTCAAAGGTTCGTCATATTCAAATAGTATTAGAATGTTAATTTTTTATCAAAATTAATTGGCTAAAAGATTTTTGAAAACTATAATGCAAACTATATTATAAAGTTTAGCTAAATCAAGACAAGTTAATTATTGAAATGAAATATTTTTGGGATATTTGAATGATTTGAGGCCAATGGAATGAATAGGAATTGCTTACTTCATTTGCATATTACGATGTTATCATTTGTGAGTTTCAGATCGATAGATATGTTAAATGTGAAAACGAAAAATTTACTGTTGAGCGTTGGAACACACAGAAGTGATGATAGTAATGATAAAACTATAAGCCAAGATACTGGCAGCAATTGGTTCTGATTAATCTGATGTCAATTCTTTGCTGTTTTTCTTGTATGGAAGAGAAGAAAAAATTTTCAAGCTTTAAAAGTTTTATATTAATGAGTACTATATTGAATTAACGATGATATGACAGTGATAAACTGATCATATCATTCAGTTCACTTATAAACTAGAAATGGTGCGACATATGAATGACCATCAAGTTGGTCATCAATGATAACAATTTTATGAGTATCTAAAACATTGAAAATTTTTGAAACATACCGATATTGCAAGAATATGAAGTAGTAATGGAGAAGTTAAATGAAGTGTAGATTATTAACATTTTTAAGATGCAAACTCAAATGTCAATCTAGAAATTGTCAACAATTATATTTTAACTTGGTCAGAAACTGACCATTTATCATCAAGTCACAATTGATTTCATTGTTTTGAAATGTGAATTTGAAACTTTAACTACTAACAATCTCCTCCATCTTTATTATTTCTCTTCGGATTATCATATGCAATGCTGATAAGCCGTTAACTGAAGTCACTGATACCTGCATATGTATATATGATAATGACCTCAAATGATGAATTACAATCGATGATCGCTATCAGCCATAAGTTGCTTGTAACCGAATACTGATTAGCTATTTCTTAATAGTGGCGATATCGAATGGTAGAATGTAATCTTCCAAATCAAATCGTTATTTTATTAACTGAAAATGAATGAGCAATTCTTTTGATATTAATATTGATTGATGAAATTTAAATACTTTCTAAAATATCAACTTTAAAAATTTACACCTCTTGTAAAATAATAAATCAATCAAATCTGATTTTAAATTGCGAAAGTGTCAAATAAAATTTATGATTTAATTGGAATGTTTTTCCTCATTTAATCGTATTTTGTGGCTCAATTTTAACACTTATATTAGCGACGTTTAACACGAATATAACAGAGAGAGAGAGAGAGAAAAGAGTTTAAAATTGGAGTATCGAAATGGTTTTCCATTTTTAAGAATTAATAACGATTAAATTTTGCAATAAAATCAAATCTATGGTCAACGAAATAATTTAGTAACAATCGTTTGATTGCTTGGTATGGCACATATTTTAATGACTGATTGCATGCAAAAAGTTTAAATTTTAGATTTTATTCTAACGCATTTAAAGATACTAATAATATTTTCAAAGAAGAAAAAAAAATCAAATTCTACTGAAATCGAAGAAATATTAGTAGCTTTACTGCCTCATAATAATAAGGATTTTAATTTTTCTTCAACTCTTTTTTTTAAAATTTATTCAGATCATTCCAACAACAATTAATATGTAGCTATTTGCTGATCCATTTTATCCTGATGATAATGATGATAATAAACTGATAGTGATAATGATGACCATTTACAGTGTCAATTGATTGTGATAGAGATGATAATAATAGTAATGTATTCGAGATGATGATTCATTTAATCACATTACTTTTCAGAGACAACGGTTTATCTTATAACCTGCGGCTTTTTTCAAAAAAAAAAGAAAAAAACCGACTAAGGCTTACCATGCAACTAGACGAGTATGCAATTTTTAGAAAACGTTATACTTGCTACTTTTAAGTAGCGAATTGCTGG